GTCCACTTCTAGCTTTCTTGATACATCTGCCATTAGAGAAAGATGGTAAATTCGAAAGCACAAGAAGTCTTCATTTGGTTATACTGACATAAAAGAATGAGGAGATCGAACGTAATTACCCACTCAAATCTGGTGGTTATCTCATTCGATATCATCTTCGTCATCCAATCCATTTCTGTAATTAACAAGCTCTGCATCAACCTTAGCCTTTCTAGGACTCATCAACACAAGCTCAGCTAATCTCCTCCTAGCTAAATACACATCATTCGGTTCTACCATTTCCCCTTTCTTATACGCCTCTCTTAGAAACACGGTATGAAGTTTCCCGTAATTCCCACGAGTCGATATGTAGAATATCCCTTGATGTTGCAGAAGAAACTCTTTCAATTTCTTAGGCAAATTCATAACATTCCTGAAATGAGCAATCCTCTCAAGAGTTATCTTCTTCTCCACAGTCAAAGACAACAATTCGTGGATGCAAGCAACAGCTCTCTTCTCCAATCTCTTCTGTGCTTCCAAAGATCTCAGATCGTAACCCGAAATGTCCTCGTATGGTGACCAATAAGGAAGTCTCTGCCATTTCCAAACAGCTATACGAAAATACTTACCAATCTTAAACCCAGGAGGAAAATTCACTACAAAAGAGAATCTAACATCCTCTGCATCTATTCCTTTTGTCCTATACTCAATCTCTCTAACTCTTTCAATCGCACAAACAGATAAATTCGGTTCCTTTGCCACAATCTCAATGTACTTATCTCTAGTTTCTTCAGCATCAATGAGTCTGAAGAACTCTGGGTGTTTCAGAACCACCGAGAACTCGAAATCTTCCGGTAACCCAAACTCCGTCCGAGCAATCCGTACGTGTTCGAGACGGATCCGACCCGTATTCGACATCATAATGAGTTTCAACAACCGGGTCACTGCGTCGGGTATCTGAGCGAGAACAGCTTCGTGCTCGTGACGGATTTGTTCCAAGGCCTTTCGGGTTAATCGACAATAGAGGATTCTCTGAACAGGGTGCTCGTAAATCTCGAACACGTGTGGGAATTTGAGGAGGAAAGCACCTGGTTCGTGCTGCTTGAAACCGAGACCTAGACGACGAGCGAGAGTGTCGAGGAGTGAGATTGCGATTGTGTTGTTGGGTTGAGAGAGAATGAGACTGTGAAATTTGACGACTTTACGGATTTTCTTCTCGACTTCCATATAATTGTCGAAGCCATGGTCGCGAACTCGTTCTTGTTTTGTGGGAATTGAAGTGGATTGAGAAAAGGGTTTAACGAGAATCAGATGGATCGAAGTAAGAATCGTTGATTTGGTTTTAGGGTTTAAGGTTAAAGAAGCATTTCCCAGGAAAAACTTCATTTTTACTTGTCTGAATTAGGATCGAGTGAGTGTTGTTTATGACTATGGTCTCGAGTTTTAGGGCTTGAGTATCTGGAGCAACCATCATCATAAAGCACTTGAGCTTTTCTTGGGCCCAGTGTTTGAATTGGTCTGAATCTGGTTTTTTTGTTTCTCTTATGCAACTTACCTTGAAAGGATGCTCCATAAATATTTTTCTATGTCCGCTAGCTTTCCTCATTTTGATCAAGATGAACACAACACAATACTTCACAACAACGTTAAAGAAAAACAAAACATCAGTTCTTATGAAGAAAACTACTAACGCTTTAACCAAGGACGGATTTAGAAATTACTTTTTAATACTTTCTTCATGAGGTTTAGTTATCACAACTCTATTAAGTTAGTGTTATTAGGAGATGGATTCTTTATAATTTTATTCATTAAAAAAACTTTCAAAATACCTAGGAAAAAGTTTTGAGTTTTGGTGGAGATGGAAGGAGATAAGAAAACAAATTTGGGGTTTGGAAAACAGACTACAAAATTCAAAAATCGAGATTACAATAATGATATTTGGTAAATATACAAAAGTTAGGGGGGATAGTTCAAAAATTCAAAAATCGAGATTACAATAATGATAGTTCGTGTTCGTTTAAAATTGCTTTTGAGTGTTATTTTGGTTGGTTGCGTATTTTCCCCTTACAACTGCCACTAAAACAATTTTCTTCTAAACTTTTATTCTCTTCAATTTCCTACACAAACTTTGTCAAAAACTACACGAACTAATTCTCTCTCTGATATTCACCAAATAAAATTGGTTAAGCTAACTTCCTAATTAAACCGTAACCACGGTTAAGTAAACCAAAATCGCGCTTTAGAAATCCAATAAGTATATGTGCCTTTTTTTTTCAAAACACAATGACCAATGTCCCATCCAACAGCTTCTCACTACTCGTCTTCTTCATCAATAGCCTCGACCTTCTCTATCTCTATCTCCTC